GTAAATCCTCCGCAAAATCTTTCTCTCAAACACCCCAAGAGCCGTCTCATCGGATGTTGTCATTGTCCATGCTTCTGCGCCATATACCAGCACGGGCATGATGAGTGAATTATAGAGCGCGGTTTTCGTACGTCGAGAGAGGACTTTACTCCTGAATTGCCTACTCAGTCCAAAGTAGCACTTGTTGGCAAGAGTGATTCTACGTTGGATTTCAATGCTGAAATTATTATCGGTGTTAATGCTGGTTTCCAAGTAAACGAAATTCTCTACTTTCTCGAAATTGTAACTGTCAACAGTGACGTGGGTGCCAAGGCGCAAATGTGCTGACTGTTTGTTTGATGACAGGAGATACTTCGTCTTGTCCTCGTTTACCACCAGACCCATGCGCTTTGCTTCCCTATCCAACTTGGAAAAGGCAGAACAGACTTAGCGGTTTTTGTTACCGATGATGTCGATGTCATCAGCATAAGCCAGCAATTGCACGCTCTTGTAGTAAATTGTTCCTGAGCGGTTCAGTTCTGCAGCTCTTATTATCTTCTCCAACATCAGATTAAAGAAGTCACATGAAAGGGAGTCGCCCTGTCTGAAACCCCGTTTTGTGGCGAACGGCTCGGAGAGGTCTTTTCCAATTCTGACGGAGCTGGTGGTATTGCTCAACGTCATTTTACACAGCCGTATGAGTTTTGAGGGGATGCCAAATTCAGACGTAGCGGCGTATAGGCAACTCCTTTTAGTGCTGTCAAAGGCGGCTTTAAAGTCGACAAATAGGTGGTGAGTGTCGATCCTTTTCTCGCGGGTCTTTTCCAAGATTTGGCGTATTGTGAATACCTGGTCTATGGTGGATTTGCCAGGTATAAAGCCACACTGATAAGGCCCAAACAGTTCATTGACGGTGGGCTTCAGTCTTTCACACAATACGCTCGATAAGACCTTGTAACCTATGCTTAGAAGGCTGATCCCGCGGTAGTTGGCGCGAATGGCGGGGTCACCTTTCTTGTGGATTGGGCAGAGCACACTTAAATTCCAGTCGTCGGGCATGCGTTCATCTGACCATATTCTGCACAAGAGTTGATGCATGCACCTTATCAACTCCTCGCCGCCGTACTTGAATAGCTCAGCTGGCAGGCTGTCAGCTCCAGCGGCTTTGTTGTTTTTCAGCCGCGTTATTGCTATACGTACCTCGTCATAGTTAGGCGGTGGAATGTCGACTCCGTCATCATCGACTGCGGGCTCGGGTTCTTCTTCTCCACAACTTTCCGTGCTGCTACCATTTAGTAGGGCGGAAAAGTGTTCCCTCCATAATTTAAGTACGCTCTGGACATCAGTTACTAGGTCGCCATTATTGTTCTTACAGGAGTGCGCCCCGGTCTTTAAACCTTCCGTAAGTCGCAAGGCAAGTCCACTGAAGAAGCAAGGCAAAGTTGCTTCTTTAATTTATAAAAATCATACATCTTTGAAATATTTTTGCTTGCGGTTTATATCAAACATGTGTTATTGCAACTTAAAATGTTTATTGAAATTCATTTGTAATGCTAAATAATATAAATTTATGCATACGCATAAAATATAAATGGATAAGCCCTTCTAGAAAGCATGCAAGGAAGCACTTTTGTCAGCTCTTCTTGGGTAGGCCTCTTAGAATGGCTTTACTTAAGAAGGCCTACCTAAATTATCTTCTGGTTAGGTCCTCCGAGCTCAGGGTAGCAGCAGTATACTCACAGGCCAGCACGGCTACCTTGATGCTTTTGAGGGCTTTCGAATAAGTGGGCTGCTGAGTGGAAGCCTCCTGTCTTTGCCCAGTCGGTCTACCCAGATTTCTAGACCATAAATTCGGAATGGGTGGGTTCTCCCGCTGCCGCTTGGTATTAGGTAGCTTAGGCGGAGTCATATGGCTGCTCCATCTTTTAAGTTCGTCTGCTTGCTTGCAGCAATCTCTTGTCGGGTGCGGGTGTCTGCTGCGGCTGTTACGGTTGCCATGGGTTTCAGTGCCTGTTTAGTAGGCTCGCTCTTCCGCCTATCGGCAGGTGCGGGTTTGTTATCTCGACTATTTCACTCTCGTCCCTCTTTCCCCACCTCCATCCTGCCGCCTGCCATAGCTCTGGCTTCGACTAGGGTTTTACCCTGCTCCAGGTAGCGGAGGTACCACTTGACCCAGGAGCCGCTCAAGCCTAGGCGGTATTGGTCATATAGGGACTCCGGCGGACCCGCCAGCCATGTAAAAGAGCGAGCCATTTCCTGCTTCGTACCTGGCCCCGTCCGACACATCGATCCCCGAAGACATCGATCGTCCGGGCAAAGCCACCTTCATTAAGAGTCTGGAAAGTCTAGATGCATGCCCTCAAATCTTAGTCCTTTACACGTTTGTCGTGGTAGTCATCAAAAGAGGGGAGAGGGTGGTTCTCGTCCGAGGCTTTATTGTTCTTTTCATTAGAAGTCGTCGTAACAAACAAAACGGTGGCTGTGAAAAGGCAATCACATTAGCATTCTTTAAAATGGGTATTCGGTAGCAACACACAAGATACTTGGTATAAATACCGGAAATCGTGATGTGCTTGAACCGGATTCAAAATAATTATTTTTGCCCACTGCCCAGTGAATGGTAATCAAAAATTTTCTCCGTGGGCTTCCGCACCCGGCATCATCTTAATACCTTGGTTTATTTGAATGAGGCGGGCTAATTAGGTAATTAGTGAAGATCGCTAAACTTCTTCTAGGTGTCCACTTCTCATGCAACCTAGCCCCAGGAGAAAACTATGTTAACTCAGTCATTCTTTGTTTTTGTTTAAACCCAGGGTGATTCATTTATACATTAAGAACAGGATTCGTTGTGGTTGATCATCAAGAGCTCAACATGAGTGAATAAAGGGTAGGTCGGTCAAGACTGCCCATCACATAATCACAAAATCGATAGAGGAAGCTTTCACACACAAATACTTCAATGCGGGAGCCTTCTTCAAGAAAGCTGTTAAAAATGTCCTTTCGGGGAAAATTACTAGCCAATTATGGGGTCCAAACCGACCTAATTAAGCTTTGAAACAGAACCGTCATGGTGGGAGGGTTAGTGCTACCGTCCAGCCTCAAGGTGGCGTCTTCCGACTTGCTGGTCGCTGAAGTGAAAATGTCGGTGATTAATTGTGATCGATTCAAGATTTTCAGAGCCAGCTAACTAAGCAGTCTGCGTACAATCGCGAACAAATACTCGCGCAAGTCTTACCTCAATGCTAGTTGGGAATGACTGACGTCTCCTTCGGTCGCAGCTGAGTATTTCCTATTCAGGCTTATATGGCTGGCAGGCAAAAAGGTTTTGTAGGAAACTGCCTGGCGGATGAGTTAGCCAGGAAAGCCACGCTTAAGAACGTCACACCGAGAAAGGAGAGTGTGGAGGAATGAGTAGACTACTCTTCGACAGAAGCGCTGGGCGAAAACCAGAACATGTGCGGGCAGAAACGCGGGCTACGCATATTGGACTTTTCCGTCAAATATAATTAAGAAATAAAAGAGACTGATGCTTTGGCTTGATGCATTTCTCAACACGGGGATAACTTCATGATATAAATATTTAATATTTAATTTTTGTTTCATGGAATAACTTAACAAAATTAGCACCGAATAACTATCCACTCCCAAGGTCCGTTTTCACAGTGATGAGCTAACTCTGGTTCACCAGTTCACTTTAAATTTTTCTATACAAAATCAATAGCAAACTGCCGAATGAGAGGCATCGTGAAAGAAATCCTATTAGATTTTCATCGTAACCAAAACGGAAGTTTTTAGAAATATGACTTTCTGAATCTGAAATTGAAAATATCGTTATGATCTTTCATCTAAATCTTTCAGCTAGGAAAGGACTCGCTCGGCTTGCACCAAAAAACTTTTTTCCATAAATTATATAGTCCGACTTCCAAATAGCATCAATATAAAGCATCAGCCTCTTCTATTTCTAAACTATAATTGATGGAAAGGCCCAATTTGCGCAAGTACGTCCTAATTCGGCATTTGAACGTGGTTGCCCATATTGGACATTTTCATCAGTTACAGTTTGGAAATAAAAGAGGCTTCCGCTTTGCATTGATGCAATTTGAAACTCAGCCAAACTCATAGAGTAGAACTTCATACAGGCGTTCAGCGCTTTTCAGATTAAAACCTGGTGTGAATTTCTACTTTTAGTTATAATGGTAATCTCTTTAGTAAATATGCTACCGCCCTAACACCACACTCTTGAAATATTTTTCTGCATAGTTATCGGCGTTTCTTAGTACCGATCTAAATTCCATCATTCTTAATGAGCGACCATCAAATAAAGGGCGGGGAATGATTCCTAAAGAACGATCCAAGGATTAAGCAACAAACAATTTAGGAAATCAGGGATTCTATTATCAAGCTTCTTACCTAAGGATAAAGGGTTTCTCTTATAAAACTATTTGGCTCTCACATTTTTGTTAAGTGTTTCTCAAATTTCTGGTATGTGTCGTAATGTTCCTCACATAAATTAAGGGATCTACATTTTGACGCCCCCCCCCCCCCCCCCCCCCTCCGTAGCTCCGAGAAGAATCTTGAATGTAGGACACTAGGCCTTGGTTGGAGGTGTTTACTGCCATACCTCTAACTACTCGTCACCGGCAACATAAAGTGTTCGTTTTTTTTCCTCGCTTAAAGCGAAGCTTCCTTGATGCCTAAACGTAAAAATATAAGCTCTATAGCTCTAACATTTGAAAAATACTGTATCTGTTCAACTGCCACCGCTTCGACTACGTAAAACCAATTGCTACAGGAGTAAATTTTAATTATTCTTTTATTAAACCAAATTCGTGTATGTATGTATGTGTAAAATAAATTACAAATTAAAAAATATTTCTCTGTTATTTCTTCTGTGTTATTATTCGCTTTGATGCATATCGATTTTTTTAATATTAATTTTACAAATATCGCATATCTTTCGCTATACTCTACTAAAAATTACATGTTTTTTGGTTACTTTGTTATCGCTTTATGCCTTTTTGATGGTTGGAATTTTCCGTTGAAATCTGCAATTGCGTTTGGTCATTATTATGTTTACAAAAGTAAATCTTACATAGATACTTTGCAGTAATGTTATGAGCTTAAAGAGTTTCAAGTAATTTATTTTTGTTCGTTACTTTTTAGTGTTACTTAAGAACAATTAAATGTTTTTTTAGATTTAAGATTTTAAAATAGGTGTATACGATAATTAAAACGCATTTTTGAAAACCACCTAGAGTGAAATTGCATTAACACATTTTTATGATCACAAAAATAATTTTTATACAAAAAATATACAATTCTTTGTTTTATGTATTAGTTTCGATGATTTTGGTAACTTAAGTCCGTTTAAGTCTGATAAATTAAAGTTTTAGTTTTACAAAATATAAAAAATAGAAAAAGCTTAATGCAATTCCTTAGTCCATTTTTCATTCCAAAGCCACTACAGCTTTTGTATCAATAGCACAGCAAAATAATCTTGATTATGAAATAATTGTTTGACGTTGAATCGTGTTTTTTTATTTATGATTTCCCTTAGTATTAAAAATATCTGCGTATTTTGGAGTCTTATTAAGCTTTTTAAAGCCTACAATTCGTGTTTTCATTCATATTAAATCGTAATCTACTTAAATTTTTTTTTTTGGCCACTGATTCTTTATTTTTAAAATCTGAATATTCTACTTCTTATCGCACCTCTTTGTTCGCATATGTATGTCTTCTCTCTGTATTTATACTTGAATAACATTTATTAAAAGCTACTTAAAATGGTCTTTAGCGCTTAGTTTGCACAATTCGAGTTTTATAAATACAAACTATTGTATATAGCTACTGCTACAGGTTATTAACGGAAGTGCCAATGTGCAAATGTACTCGTATCTTGAGATTATTTCGCATATATTTCTGATGTTTTCCTGTGCGTGAGGATATCCTTTACTCAATGCAAGCAAACAAATTTCAACAGCGTCTGCCACTTTTTTCCCGTTAAAAATATTTTTGCTTTAAACCACATCGTATTGCGATTGTATGCACCCTATGTGTGTTCACTCGAGTTCGCAGGCATGTTTGCGACTCTAAAATTAGGTTTTCAAATATATTTCAATCTCATGAAAAAGGACAATTCCTTGGTAATTTACAGCTACATACAAGCAGCTAAAGTAGTAGGCGATTCTAATATTTATGGTTTGTGATTCCAGTCAAGAGCTTTGCATTTGATTAAACGGTATAAATAAAGATAAGTATTTTTAGTGGAAGTAATGACAGCATTATCATTGCATTTCAGAAATGCCCGACGCATTTTGACGGCAATTGTGCCCGCACTAGGGAGTGAGTGATTTTTATAAGCTATTTTACGATGAAACTTTTCTCGCATGAAACTTGATTGCAGTCTCCAATGAAAATGAAATCGCAATATATGGTAAGACCAAAGTACTTCTTTGCTGACTTTCCTCTCTCTGAGAATCTACTTTCAAAAGTTTTCGTACGTATAAAGTTGCGTACTTGAACAAATCGTGTGTTACGAGTTTCCCATGGGCGTGAGGAAATGTGAGTTTCTAAAGTGTGCGTATAATTATTTGATAATCAAAATATTTAAATGTTTCACGCACTTCTTCTTTGTTTAACCTTAGTTTATCAAATGCTATCTAATAAACTAACGAAAATCACGAAAGTATAGCCACAGAACGTCGCGGCCCGCCTTGGCTTATGTTGTCCATTGATGACCACTTTTTCATTCCATTCTTCAATGCTTCGGCAGTCACTTTATCCTGCATAACGCGTGACATGGCCTCCAACTTTTGGGCACGCTCCTTGGAGAGTGGCTCTGTTGGGAATGACAAGTCGTTCGCTTCGGCGAGCGTACGCAAGTCAAAGTAATATTTGGCATAGACGGATGAGGGCACATTAATATTGAATTGCAATAACTCAAGGAATTGGCGTTCAAGTTCATTCATATCTTCAACGGTGATATCCTTTAAGATTTGACAATAGTCCACATTCCAGACAGCTTGATCATCCCACACTTTGGAGGCGAGCAGTATGGCACCTGTATAGAAATGAATCAATTAAAATTCTTACGTCTCAATTCAAAATCAAAAACGTGTTCACCAAACATACCCAAAACCATACGCTTCCAATTGCATGGTGCCAAATCCAATTCCGCGTAAGTGAGCAAACGCTCAAGATAGACTAGCGTTATAATGGCACATTCAGCAGTCAGTTGAGCCGCATTAAAGAGCGTGCGCACGAATTTGTAGATCTGTCTATGTTCCGGATTATGCGAATCATAGTCATCAGGAACAGCATCATGCGTAAGAGGATGCTGCTTTTCGTCGAAAATATCTAGCCGACGATTGGACTGTCGATTTTTGATGTGATAATAAATGGCGAGTGAAACGCATTTCACTGTATTTTTGAGATTTGGTTGTGATACAGTGCTGTCATCCAAATAGATGGTGGAGCAAGATGAACTTTTCTTCAGACCACCACCAGTTGAATTCGCCGCCTGTTGAGCGATTTGATGCTGGGAGCGCTTACGTGAAATACCACCGTTTTCGACTTTGGATCGTTCGAGGAACATAGTGGCCGCTGTTGGGTCAACGGAAGGATCATCATCGCCTTCGAGCGCCTCACGTTCTGAAATATGTTGTAAATTATGCGGATTGTCCAGTGTACCAGCACTGTGATGAATAGCCGCTGTGGAAGCAGAAATATGACCATCTAGCTGATGTTGTGATGAAGAAATGTGATGGCTGCTATGTACGTGATGACGCTCCTCATAGACGGGTGGTATGTCTTTTGATTTGCGATCTGATTGAGGACTGGAATAAGCACAGCAGGAATTTTTGTTGCCCATTTTATATGAATTTATTTCACAACGATTGGGCTCTATGGAACGTGTGTGAGCGAGTATTTATATATGTATGATATACACGATGAAGAGATCCTTTAATAATGCGAGGAAATGGCAAATCTAGATTGCCTAGAATGGTAGAGCCGCAAAGAATTTACGTAATGTTAAATGCAACTGTTTCAATCACTTGTCTTTTTTAATGGGTTTCTCCTCTATTCTTAAACTGTTGTTTTATAAATTTACTTTTCTTTTGCCTTTGACTAGTTGGGAGGGTTTCCTTATTTTTAATTAGATATATAAGAAAGATTCATAAAATTGGGATTTTCATAAAACAATACGTATTGCTGTTGTTGTTTAATCACAATCGATCCGATCCATCTAAACGCGCTGCCTCGTATATAGATATTTATTTTTCCAAAGTTTGGCCGCACTCAAAGTCTTTTTTAGTGGTTAATCTTGGACACGAATGTATTTAACTCCTCAATATTTGGCACATCTGTCTAGTTACAATGAGACATTATTGCAGGTAACTTTACAATTTGCTGCTTAATTGTGGACGATTCTGAAACTATAAGTAAATATTTATCCATTAGTTAGCTGAATAAAGTAATTTCATTTTCATCTATTTGTTTATTTATATACATTACCGCATTAAGCATTAATCTTTTATTGCGCAATACAAATAATGCAAATAATATGTATTAAAATAAAATTAAAACTACAATTATATAAATACAAGTCTTTATACATATATTAATATAAACTTAAAAAGGCCAGGTACAAAATTTATGGAAATGGAAGAGAAAAATTTATGTTAATGAATAAACTGTGAAAAATGTATAACATTTTTGGGAAAAGCTTTCTTTTAAAAAGTTTCTTTACGAAATTAAATATTCTTTATTCATTGTTTTCATTTATTTTTATTTTCTCGTAACTGTAGTGTACATTTTCGTGTAATTTTATTCACGCAAATATGTACATACATACATGTGCATTTATGTATGAAGAAAACTTGGCATAAACTTCAAACTGTAATTTCTTATGTACCTTGTACGTATTTTGTATGTACTCCATTACCCAGAAATTAGTAGAACTTTTAAAACTTGGCGACCTGTGGAGTTTAGATTTTGCTTCACATTTTCTTAAGTTACATTTTTATTGCACTGGTTGTGCGAAGTTATGCAGAGTATGCATAATCAGACCTTTATCCTATGGACTAAACTTTTCAATATGAAGTTTTGCTGGTTATTTTTCAAGGAAAAACCTTACTAACTATTTTATAGTTTTTTAAAGAACTTTAACTTTATTAATTGAGACATGACGTTCTTCCAGCATACGATACATACGCATATGCATACCGAAAATATATATATGCACATACTTTGTACCAAATGCTAATAAGATAAGCCTGGCATAAGATTACGCTAAAAAAAGAAAACAAGATAAAAGTTAAAACAAACATATTACGATTTTCATTGTTAATTAAACAGAGTTAACCACTTTTGTTAGATGCTACAGCAGCAACTTCGTAAAGATTATTTTTAAAAATAAATATTTGCCACCAATGCATATCAGTTCATTCCAAAATTTATAATTGCAAAAAAATCTATTACAAACATGCATACACACAATAAGCATAACGACAATTGAACGGTATTTGCACAAAATGGTGTATAATTTTTTTCTTTTTAATTTACATTGTGGAGACATTTGGGCCTAGGCGTAAGTTGTTGTTTTGCTGTTGTCCATGCTATGAAGTAAAGAGAGCTAGCTGGTATCAATTGAAACAAAAATCGGATTTATTCAAAGAATTGAAACTTTGACGCTGAATTAATCATTTGAAAGAAGGAAAAAAGGTTAATTTAAAATAAAAAGCTATATACCCCATACTGAAACTAAAAAAGAATATCTTCACATTCCACTGTAATTTAATTGAATGTACCTCACAAAATATGTAATAGGTAAAAGAGTAATCACACTAAATATATTAGAATAAATTGCTAACATATCAATGAAGTAACCTGAGATTAAACCAAGTTGGTTTAAAATTTCAAATAGGATTAAGGGATAGGGAGCTCTTCCCAGCAAGAACACTCAGAGAGTAGATTTTAAAATTTGTGTGTTCAAGGCAGACCATCAAATTAATTGAAGTTTTCTACTAATAACAAGACATCTTTTAATTTTAATTTTAAAACATACATATGCATGAAAGGAGGCCGCTATGGTGTATTGGTTACACGAGGCCTGGGATCGAGCCCAGTTTCCGAATGATATAAAAAAAGAAAAGGTTTTTTCTAATAGCGGTCGACCCCCGGCAGGCAATGGCAAACCTCCGAGGGTATTTCTGGCATTAAAAACAGCTTCCCATAAAAATACAATCGGCGTTCTGAAACTGTAGGTCCGTCCTCTTGACAACATCAAGGCGCACGCCACAAATCGGAAGCTCGTCCAAATACTAACATATTGTGTAAGTGCCAATCTGTTCTTATAATGCGTGATTTTATGAAGTAATACTATGATTAAAAAATTTTATCAAGCAGGCAAATCGCTCGTCATAAAATTTTATGATGCAAAGTATGGCGATGGCATCACAAAAGGCATATCTCTGGTTTCAGCATCGCATTACTCAACTGCAAAGCGAAGTTTGCGTAGTTTGCGTGTTTGACGCTGGAGATTTAGCCAAAACTGAATCTTGATTCATCAATTTGAATTAATTCAAATACCAAAACACTGGCACGATTCGTGGTGTCTAAAATAGAAATAGATATTAGTTAAAACAAATAACAATATTTTGTTTGTAAATATTAATTATCTTGCAATTGAGTATGTCTTGGCAAATCTTTTACTTTACTTCTGGTACAACCACTGGCTTTGCAATACAAATTATTTTCTACTAATTCTATGAATTCCTGACAATGAGAAAAGCTTTCATATAGGTTGCTTTCATAAGAAATTGCTTTAGATTAAGATAAGGGCACGAATAATTGGCGAAAGTTATCAAGCGAGTTATTTGAGTGTGAGAAGTTCTGCAACAGCACCGGCAGCGTGTACAATTTTCAACGTTGACTTGTATGGAGTTATGTACATGAATACGTATGTATATATGTATGTATGTATGTACTTACTATACGTATTTATTCAAAATCATGAATAATGAATAAGCTGGAGTCTGTAGGTAGTGAATATTTATAGCCACTCCACACATGGCTATCCATATGTAAGATCCGACTGATATACATATGTACATATGTATGTAATTGCTAGGGAACGAATTTTATGGAAATTGCCTTTTTTTCTGCTAAAGAGGTAGAGTATATCCGATTAAGAACGTCCATGATTTCATATGTACATATACACTCTTGATGTTGCCTTTTTTAAGAAATTTTCCTTTTCTACCTTTAATTGTAAAGGGCCATTATTCCCGATATTATGAAAGGATTAAACGATCCATATTTAAAATGGGCGCCACTTGTATCAACTCACGTCGATCGAACGTTTAGTATTCCAGGCTTTTCCTGGCGAAAATCGAATGAAAATGCTGCCAGAAAACTTCAAAATGCATCTTGTGGTTAAATGTTTCTACAATTATAGTGATTAAAGTTGTGCGAGTTAAAAATTCGAGAGGAGAAAATAGTAAAAGAATCAAAGTAGAAAATTTTCAACTCATGAAACTAATTCATAGTTTTTTCATGGTTTTTTCTCTTTTTACTTGTAAAATAAACATTTCTAAACCAAATGTATTTTTTATTTTTCGGTTCTTATCTTTTTTTTAATGCCTTCTTTTGCCTTTCTTGCGATTTCTAGTGCCTTTTATTGCCTATGTCGCTATTTTATTTTGCCTTTTCTAGCTTATTTCGTTATTTTATTTTGCCTTTTTTTATAGGTTTTTAGGTCTTAAAAATCCGTTCCCTGGTAATTACATATTTAGTATTTATTACTTTTTGTTTATTATCAGCGACAATATCATTTACATAGCGCTCCAAATGTTAATTCCAAATAATTTGATTTTCTTAAGACTCTTGGGTAGGTCCGGCTTTTGTATGCAAGTAAACCGGGTTGGGGAGTGTGTTACTCACAAGTTTTGTGCTTTTTGCGGCTAATAAAAACTTTGCGTTGGCAGTCTACTCACATAATTACATATACATGCTCCTAGCCTTTGAAGGCATACATACATAATTGAATTTTTTGTCATATTTTCTTTAATAATGAATATTACCTTCAACAATTTTCGTTCAGAAACTGGAGTCTTTGATTTATTTCGGTGCTTGTGCTGCTTTGTCCGCCGTGACACTTTGCTGAGGTGTTTGGTGTGGCTCTGCCGCTTCCGACGTGTTTGTTGTTGCTGAAGATCGAGGTGCAGTTGGGCACATTAAATTTGCTATCTTTCCTGAATTTTTACATTTTTTGACGTTTAATTATTTGCGAATGAAACTTTTCTGTATTTTACATCTACAATCACTTCAACAGGATTTTTTCGATAAGAAAAGGCAAACTTTTTTAGTTTTTCGCCCAGCTTTGCGGTTTCCGTGATATTTCGGTAGGTAGCGGCTGTCTGTTTTCGGGTTAGGAAATATACCGAACTGAAGTTTTTTGTTGTTGATTGCGATAATAAAACTTTTTATTATGGTATTTGCAATTCACTTTATAAAACTTTGCACGCCTCAAGTTTGTACATTTACAATTAACACACCGCCCCAAAATTAGAATGTATGTAGAATTCGTGCAAAAATGTTTTCTTCTACGCCTTTTTTGCTTTGACATTCATGAAAATACCCACAAATTATCATGGCGAATCGGTTTGGGACATTTACGCACGGCACGAATCACATAGTTGCATTTTAATGCACGTGAAAGTCCGATAAATTGTCTTAATTGAAACTGGACTTTTTTGCAACAAATTAGTTCTTATGCACAATTTTTTACTAAAATTGTGTTCCTCTTCCATACAAGGATAAAATTTAAAACAAAGCTTTGCGTTTGTCGACATTAAAGTCGACTCCAACGTTAAAGTGGAACAAATGCAAAAAAAAAAAAATAGTGGGATCTATAGAGGAATTTGTACAGAACACATTTTTATTTTTTTTGATGGAAACAAAAAATGTAAGTTTTATTCAAGGGCAAAAAGTAAAAAAATGGATTTCATTAAAATTAAATATCGTATAACTATTATTGATTTTTGAAGGATTTTTATGCCGTTTGAAAGGTAATAAAAATACCTTTCTTTTGACATACAACAATGATGTACTTTATTGATAAAATTATTTGAAAAACCAACAAGTTTTGAACAAGTTTTCATAAAATATTTTTTTTTTAACAAATGTACTTTTTTCTTTAAAAATCACATTATTAATTATTTTTATTGATTTTGGAGGATTTTTATCCCGTTTGAAATGTAATAAAAATACCTCTGCATACAACAATGATAATCTTTATTGATAGATGAAAACAACACGTTTTTATATTTTTTTTTAACAAATGTACTTTTTTCTTTAAAAATCACTATTAACATTATATATAAATATCACTGTAAGAAAGCATGTAAATCGAGCTTTGATTTCATATACAACATGTCTTATCTGAACAATCGCAAGTATTTTTGCGCAGAACTTCTTTCTGCGTAGGCGGCCTTCGGCCGAGGTGAAGGATTATAACCCTACCAAAGTAGAATTCTCCATTCTGTGTTGCCGAAGACGAGGGGCTGAAGACCTTTTGAATCTTATTTTTATATGTTGACAATAACGTGATTTAATAATAAAAATCATTTTGTTTTTAATTTTTTAATGTTTTTTTTTTTATAAAAACTAATGGCCTTATTCATAAAAAATAAAGTAGGTTTTTCAATTTATAAACCTTTTATAAAGCTACTTTATTTTTTATGAATAAGGCCATAATTTTTCTCACAAGCCTTACAAAAAAAAGCAAGACATGTATATATAAAAAAAAGATATCTTTCAAACGACATCAAAATATTTTAAATTAATACAATAGGTTTTTAGTTATTCCAATTTAAAGAAATTGAGAAATTGATTCTTCGACCTTCAATAACACCAGTAACTATTATTTCCACTTCAAAAAAAGAATACCGTTATGATCAGGACTAACACCCCTATTTTTTTAATCAGAGATATGTACGTATTCTGCACTTATACCACCCTCGGTATCAGCGCAATGATGCAACGCCGCGCTGCGTTACCCAGGTCTACGCTCGCGTTGAACTGTATATCAGGCTTAAGACCCTGCTGAACCAGCTGTCGATACCGCTGATTCCAAGTGACCAGAAGGCTGCACAATCTGCTAACACCCAGTACCTAAGCCTCTTACTTTCCCCAACGGAAGATGAATGTTGATGTTGAAAAAATTGGGTCATGCGGTAGTAGATTATCTCACCAAGGTCTTCAATTTGTCCATGGCCATTCTCATCATTCCGGACATCTGGAAAACGGGAATATTGGTCCTACTGCTTAAACCAGGGAAGCTGGCCAAAAAGGGAGAGTCGTATCGTCCGATAACTCTCCTTTCCCCCGCACTGTACGAACTACCTCCCCAGTGAAGCATCAGCATGGAGTCAGTGAAGTGCACAGCACAACAATAGCACTTAACTCTATAAACACTCAAGTAACTCGTGACTTTAACCGAAACTGATCTTGTGAGAGAACAGTCCTAGTAGGGTTTCGATCTGTCAATGGCATTTGATAGCGTCAGCCACTACATACTACTAGAAGACACTGAGAGAGGAACTCTCTCTTGGGGTTCTCGGGCGCGGCCCCAATGATCCCAATACTCGTGCCAACAATATGAACACTGACAATAAAAACAAATGAAAAACTAGCGGAACGAAGGCCTCAAAGAGGCGCCTACGCTTCAAGAGGACACTGGCGCGAGCCAATCTACCTTACAGACAGCACCTGCTGACAAATTGAAACACTCAAAAGGCTCAGTGAAGCTGTTAAAAAGAGGTACCAATAGCTCCTAAAGAAAGCAAAAAAGAAGCGTATGCCAAAGCGCAGCTTCCAATAGCCAAAGGCCAAACCTAGGGGAAAAATGTCTAGTAAAGGCGACCGTTCAGAGGAAGGTACTCCGCTGTTGAGATACATAAGATACACTTCACTATCTCATTTAAAGATGTTGTTGTAGGGGTGAAGATGCTAGTTCTTGCTAGGGTCTACCCTGAAAACGACGTAAAAACAGAGCAGAAACTGTCATTCCTGAGTTCTGTTTACAAGGAAGGATATCTTGTACTGAGGAGAACACGACTGCAAAGTTGGTTAGGACGACCATGGTCACTGTGATGCCCTGGGAAGGTGCTGCACTGTGGGAATCAAAAATTTCTCATTCCAGGGTCGCAGCGGTGTACTTTCCATACTCCATTGGCATGGAAACCAAGACTAAAAATCTGCTGCGAGCCTTGAGGCTGACAAAAAAGGATTAATTTCCGCTTTGAACAGGTCACACTTCGGCAGGTGTCAACGCAGATGCGCTAGCCAAACAAATGGAAGCGGTAGGAAACGAGGAGGATGACGATCGCCTTTGATTTATTTCCCCCCGAATCAGATAACGCACCACCAGTTCAAGTAAAGGAGCTAGTGGATTACTGCAAAAACCACAGGAAAGTCCTGATCATCGGCTGTGATGCCAATGCCCACAGCACAACATGGGGCAGCAGAAATACCAATACAAGAGATAAGTCTCTCTTAGAATTTTTACTAACAAGTAACATAGCAGTACTTAATAAGGGAAACAAACCAGCTTTAGTAAATGCTATTCGTCAAGAGTTCTTAGACCTAATATTAGTCATTGTAAACTAGTTCGACGTCATTCAGAACCGCGGTGTCTCAGATGATGACTCCATGTCTGATCACAAAAAAAATTCTGTTCGAAACAAAGGGTCTATTAAAGAGCGCTAGTCTCTATCGCAAGCGTAGAAATATTGACTGGGACAGGCATGCTGTAAATATTTTAGCGAAGCTGAACATATTAACCAGTGACATATCTACAAAATAAGACCTGGATACAGCAGTCACAGGCCTGACTGATACTATTATATCCTCATATAACGAATGCTGTCCACAGAAGGTAAAATCCTCACTAAAGAGGGTACTTTGGTGGAACTTCAAGTGAGAGAAACTGCGTAAGATTACCAGGAGAGGCCAAGACGACTAGCAACTGGGATGAGTATAAAAAGTCTCTCACAATACAAAACAAAGAAATACGGAAATCCAAGAGAAATCCTTGAAAGAACTTCTGTGAGGGCATAAAGGACATTCCAGCTACTGATAGGGTCCAAAGGTCCCTCTCTGAGGTTGAATCCAGCCTCATAGGAGCTCTAATGGGATCAGATGGATCCCCTACAAACACTTTTGGGAAATCCCTAGAGCTTCTTCAAAGGACTCACTTCCCTGACTGCTAGTTAATAACACAAAGGCCGAATACGCATACCATGGTAACTCCATTCCAGCAAGGAGCCGTCGACCCAGTAATTAAAAAAGTATTAAATCAATCAGTCTACTTAACTGGGCCATAAAGTCGTTTAAGTCCTACAAATCTCTGGGGTCAGATGGCATATTCCCGACACTACTTTCCAAAGTTACAAAAAAAATTATTAAAAAATTTGTTACAATCTTTAGGGCTTGCCTGACACTGGAACAAATAGTTTGAGACAGAGCACTTAATAAACCAGCCGCACAATGTGTAGTCTCTCTAATCTGGGTGCCTGGTTATGAGCCTGCGATCGCAATGAAAAGCGGATGAGCTCCAAGCGGAAAAGGGTAAGACACCCCATCCTTTGGATCGAGCCCATTTCTTGGATGCCATCAAACATCTTAACAAGTGCACTGATATCCATTGGGACAGTCTAGAGGCATACCATCATTTAAAGAAGTTTCTTTGCTTCAGTGACAAAAGAGCTCATTCTGCGCTCATGCGAAGTGGTTGAAATATAAAGGAGCTACATATGTGGAACACTAAATGGCCACTATGCTTACGCTTGGCCAGACATTTGCAAATTCTGTGGTGCAGAGGGGCCTGAAGATCTACCCTTACAGCGCAATTCGGGCAACTATCTAGAAAGCTATTAAATTAAAAAAGAAATTATTTTTCCTTTTGAAACAATAAAAACTAAAAATGAATGGAAAATAAAAATAATTATTACTAATAAAATAAATTCTAAAAAATTAGATGAAATTAAAAAAAATATTCTTTAAAAAAATTAGAACCTGTAAATTAAATGAAAATTAAACAAATATTTTTCCATTTAAAACAAAATCTAAAATAAAAATAAATTTAAATTAAATAAGGAAAAAATGAATTATAAAATATAGAGAATATTTCCAAAAATTAAATGAAATTAAAAGAAAATATGTTTCTTTGAAAAAAAAAAACAGGGACCGAAAATAATCGTTATCATAAAGGATTTTCATTTTAAAATCATTGTATAATCGTTATTTTTCGATTTATATCACGATAATTTTTAATCGTTATTTTATGATTTTTATTTTTTCAATCAAAAATAATCGTTATTCTTTGATTTTTATTTTTTCAATCATTTTTAGTTGTTATTTTACGATTTTAATTTTTTCGATCAAGAATAATCGTTATTTTTTCGATCAAAAAAACTTGTGTTGACAATTAAAGCAACAAACGTAAGATAATCTCAGGAACCGCACTATACTGATACTATTTAGTGATGGGCCATATTTTATTTACTAAAAAATTAAGCGCTAAGTATTTAGGTATTTATGTTGTAGTAAATATGTACCAAAGT